TAATCAAAGTAGGGCAGCTGATGTTGAACCTGTCATACCTATTATTTCTACACCTCACAAAGGGTCTGTAATAATAAATAATGTGGATCCCACATCTGAACTACGTGTTTACTCGAGAAGAAAAAAGAAGCAAGGTACTGATTCAGTACCAACTCAAGCCGACCTATCGTCTGACCAAAGTATTGTTCCAGGTAACATCATTCCCACAACTTCTTTTCCACATTTCCTTGATCCTATTATTGAGACTGAGACTGATTCCCATGACCATAATTCACCTCTTGATCCGAGCCTTAATGAACCTATAGCACTTAGGAAAGGAGTTCGTGAGTGCACCAAACATCCTATAAACCGTTATGTGTCATATCACCAATTATCTCCTACCTTTAGGGCCTTTACCACTAGCATAACCGATGATGAAATTCCGAGGACGATACAAGAAGCACTAAGCATTCCAAAGTGGAGAGAAGCTGTCCTAGAAGAAATGCGAGCTTTAAAAAAAAATGAAACGTGGGAGTTAACAAATCTGCCAAAAGGAAAGCATCTTGTAGGCAGCAAATGGGTGTTCACGATCAAGTATAATTCGGATGGATCAATAGAGAGGTACAAAGCTAGACTCGTAGCTAGAGGATTCACTCAAACCTACGGTCTAGACTATGAGGAGACATTTGCCCCGGTTGCTAAACTCAACACAGTAAGAGTGTTGTTGTCACTTGCTGTTAACCTCGACTGGCCTCTTCTACAGTTTGATGTGAAGAATGCCTTCCTTAATGGAGAGTTAGAAGAAGAAGTTTTTATGCAAGTACCTCCGGGGTTTGATGATGAAAGTGTGGCAGGAAAGGTATGTCGACTGAAGAAATCTTTATACGGCTTGAAACAGTCACCTCGCGCTTGGTTCGAAAGGTTTACAAGGGATGTAAAGGAAAAAGGATTTCGTCAAGCTCACGCTGATCATACATTGTTCTACAAACACACGGTCGAAGGGAAAATTGCTATCTTAATTGTGTATGTAGATGATATTATAATGACAGGAGATGATGAAGAAGGGCTGGAGAAACTGAAGCTATTTCTAGCTAGGCAATTTGAAATTAAAGATTTGGGAAACCTCAAGTTCTTTCTCGGGATGGAAGTAGCTAGATCCAAGAAGGGAATTGCTCTGTCTCAACGAAAGTATGTGCTCGATTTACTCAAGGAAACAGGTCTTCTTGGATGTAAACCTGCTTCCACTCCTATTGACCCTAACCATAAGTTAGGAAGGTCCGATGGCGGAGCTGCTATTGATAAGGCTCGGTATCAAAAGTTAGTGGGAAAACTCATCTATCTAGCTCACACACGACCTGATATAGCCTTTGCAGTGAGTTTAGTCAGTCAATTTATGCATAATCCGGCTGAAGAACATCTGAAAGCTGTCTACAGAATCCTACACTATCTCAAGGGAAGTCCCGGAAAGGGTATTCTATTCAAAAAAAATCACAGTAGGAAAATTGAGGTCTTCACAGACGCAGATTATGCAGGAGCTGCGAACGATAGGAGATCTACATCAGCCTATTGTTCATTCGTTTGGGGAAATTTAGTAACCTGGAGAAGTAAAAAACAACATGTGGTGTCAAGAAGTAGTGCAGAAGCCGAATATAGAGCAATGGCACACGGAATCTGTGAAGCTATTTGGCTAAGAAGCATTCTCAATGAACTGAAGGTGAAAACAGAAATGCCAATGAAGTTGTTTTGTGACAATAAGTCAGCCATCAGTATTGCTCACAATCCTGTCCAACATGACAGGACCAAACATGTGGAAGTTGATCGTTTCTTCATCAAAGAAAAGCTAGAAGGAGGAGAAATTTGTATACCTTACGTTCCCACATCAGAGCAACTCGCAGACATTCTGACCAAAGGGCTATACAAACAAACATTTGAAGATTTTCTAGTCAAGCTGGGCATGATTGACATTTTTGCCCCAGCTTGAGGGGGAGTGTTGGACAGAATAATCTATTTTAGGTTATTGGACAGAATCATCTATTTTAGGCGCATAGTAATTGTAATTAATTGTAGAATTGTAGAATTATCTCTTGCCTTGATTAGAATTGTATTTAAGGTAGATTATCTTTTTGATATTGTAGATCCTTTTATTCTAGGGAATCAATTAATTCCCAGGATTTCCAGGATTCTCTCTGTACCTATTTAAGTTCGGTAAATGAGAAGAAAATTAATTCCGCCTATTTTCTTCTTTTAGTTATTAATGCTGATTTTCTGTGGTTTGAACTTTTCATTAAAAGTTTTGTATTACTTTTGGGAGTTACAAATTTGGGACATTATGTTTTGTCTTGCTTTTCTAAATGATCCATTTGGAATGGAAAATACATCGTTAGGTTGGAATGTTGTTTACAGTGTGTAATAGTAAAATAAGATTTGTCTTGATTATTTGGTTTACTATTGGCTCTGCTGCTGATATTAGATTTTGATTTACCTGTTACAAAAGTGTTCATTTCAAGGCTATTAGCTCAATTGGTAGAGCAGTGTGCACATTTGCATAAAGATGCGGGTTCGAGTCCCGCATAGCCTAAATTTGCAATTCTTCATCTTAAAAAGTGCAGAAACATGTAGGCATGTTGATTTGGTCACGTAAAATAGACTACTTTCCATATACTATCTCGCTTCCATCGGTGCGTTGAAGTCTGTAAGTGTAGAATGTTACTCCATGATAGTCTTCAGCCTTCACTTGTAGAATTTGATGAATCAGGAGAATATTCGACTTCGTATTTAGTATCGAGATTTAAATTCAACACTTTAATGACCTGTTTAGAGTACTCTCTCCATCCTTAAAAGTTCCTACTTAGACATGAATGATTTAGAATGCATAAGATGTTTTTCATTTGACTCTGAAAATTCCATAGTGATGCTGCACGATTAATGGTGATGGATGAGGATACTAAATGAGGGTAGTAAAGTGAGAGTTTTACCAAATAAAGAGGACCTTATTCAGGGGAAGAGCAAACACAAAAACAGACACTTCACAATGGGATATTATATAGAGAAACAGTCTCACTTTTTATTTGGTTGAGATCCCATGTAATCCTATTGATACCCATGGTGTTGTTCTCACCATGATTGCAGCGAATTGCACATGAGTGTTGGAATTCATGGTTTTGGAAAGAGATGCCAAACTAAGCCGTTGACGATACGTATAGAGAGTCAAATCTCTCAACTAGTAACTAGAAAAATGAAGCTTCTGGGAAAAAAAATCAAAGCAATAAAATACAAAAAATAGGTACAAAATGATGAAAGTTGGTAAAATTAGGCTATAAAGTAAAATGTAGGATTCCTACCTTTAACTAAGATCAACTACAATAATATCTTTCATCTTATACACAATTTAAATACAGCCCAACTCTAACTAAGACGTATGCATAATATATTAGATTCTGCAATTAAAATAATGTAGCATCTATATAAAATTAAAAAAGAATGAGCAACCCATTGAGGATTTAAGCATGAGAAAGCTGCGTAAGATGTTGAAGCAGATGTATCATTTTCACGATGACGCCGAGGCAGAGGAAGTGAAAGATGAAGAAGCTGTCATTGTTGCTTCCCATGCCAGAAACGGTAAACATAAGAAATGGCAGAAAGGCGGGAAAAACGCTTTCGTGGTCAGACCCGCCCTACAGCAGGTCTTTGAGAACAGTTGGTGGTTGGCAATAGTTTCAAAACCACATCTCAAGGTTAAAGACGAAGATGAAGCAGAAGATGTGAAACAAACAACACTCTCCTTATCATACAACTCTAAATAATTGCAATATTTTTTTTATATTCTCTACCGGGAGGCATTTCAAAATGTTTTTGAAGTGTGGTAATCCCTAGTTTTTGCTATTCTTAGGCCTATCAATGAAGAGTTGAAGAGTTTCGCAATATGAAATGCCTGTTATTTTCTGTTAAAAAATGAAATTAAAGTTGGGAAAAGATTAAATCATCAATCCACTTGTTGAGATAGCCTATGTGGGATTCGAACTCACATCTTTCGTGCGGTCACACGATGCTCTTCCAATTGAGCTAATAGGCTGCAAGAAAACTATGCAACTTTTCGTCTTCTAATCAAGTTGCTACAACTTTTAAGATAAATTAGATTGCAAGAACTTCTTATACAAATTTGGACTCTACATAATACTTCATAATATGTACATGTGTTATAACTTCACATTCTTTAATTCACAAACATTCCTCCAAAAGTATATAAGACACATACTAATATAACAAAAATAATTTTTATAAAGTGTATCTTAACTTGTAAGTTAACCACTAGAAAAAATAAGTTAAAAGCATCAAAATCAGTAAGAAAATGAGTGCAAAATTATACAATAACAAGTAACTGCTAAGTCATAAATATATACTATAAATTAAAATGTAAAGACATGAAGGAATTATAAAAATGAAATCACAAAATTACAATGTTGACCATCATTATTTGGATCATTCTCATCTTCCCTCACTGTCTCATAAATATATCTTTTAATAAAATATTCATAACTTTTAATAAAATATTCATAACTTTTAACATAAGTAGCTGCACTTCCAGTCTTTCCACCCATAACTGTTCATCCTTACCAATAATGGTCAATATAGAGAATGTTGAAATGGCAAATGTATCAACTCACACTTTCTCAATGTTACTAATAAATAAATTAATTCCTCCATGTTGTTCCAAAAAAGCGTAATAAAATAAATAATTATTTTACGGTAAGTGTCTACAATCTAAAATTGTGATGAGAGATGTTTAACAAAATATTACTTTTACTCAAGTCATTATAACTTGTAAATAAAAAAAACCTAACTTTTAAACTTAAAGGCTTGACTTTTACCAAAACTCCCAGTACCTCTAAAATCATGAGTATAACTAGTATCCAAGAAGCATACCTTTAAATCAAAAGGGATAAGTTTTACTTTCCATTCATCAATAGGGAGAACTATTGATGAATGGAAATATCTAACGCAAGAGAGTGATGATGTGCTTGTGTTAGGCATCAGTCTAATTAGTAGTTTTAAATAAGGGGGTTAGGGGAGTTAAATAGCTTTTAAAGTGCCTATAGCTTATTTAGTTGTCTATTTAGTCCCTGCGTGGACTTTTGGCTATAAATAGAAGCTGGGGTAGCCATAATAGGGGACGGTTATTTTGATTTGTGTGTTGCCTTGTTGCCTAAGAAGTCCCTGTCCCGGTTGCCTTGTTGTTACCTACGGATTATCCCCCATATCAATAAACTTCAGTTTATCTACATTTCTGCTTAGATCTGTGAGCTTGTTTACTGGTTTTGCTGGTTGAATTACCAGTGCCTAACATTGGTATCAGAGCACTCCTTCCTGGCATCCTAATCGATCGATCAACAGCATCAACGATCTGGAGGGATGGAAGAAGATTGGACACCAGAAATGGAGGCTCGCTTGGATAAGTTCGAACTGGAGATGAAGACGGCTATGGCAAACCTCGCAGCTTCCATGACCGCACAGATGCAGAAGTGCATCGCGGATTCTATGGCAGCGATTTCAGCATCTACAGCCGCGAAGAAGGAACAAAGGGGAAGATCACGATCATTGCATCTTCCGGCTTCTAACAGTTCGCAGATGCGAACGAAGTCTTCCAGTGCATCGCGAAATGCGCAGGGTCAGTCGCGAACTTCCTCCCTCAGTTCGCAGTCGCAGAGATCAACGCTCACATATCATTCCAGTTTACAATCGCGAACTTCATCTTCCCGTTCGCAGACTTCATCTCTAGCTTCACACAGTTCGCCGTCACCAACAACGTCATCTCCCAGCTCATTGCGAATTGATTCTACTCGCAGATCTTCATCTCCCTTGCAATCAGCTTCACAACGGGCCAACTCTCAACATCAACGAACAAAGGAATCTGAGCGTCTAGCTGCGTCGGAAGGTAAATACGATCACTCTCACTCTAGTATGGGTCAGGATAGCAGTAGAAGAGATATTGGCTCGGGAAGTAAGGTTGAATTACCCTGGTTTAATGGAGAAGAAGTAGACAAATGGATAGTTAAGATGGAAGAATACTTCCGACTCAAATCTATTGAGGATGAGGAAAGACCAGAGGAGAAATCTTCTGGGGTGACTCAGTCCTGGACAGTCATGGAATATAAATCTTCTGATCACAAGATTGCTGGCCCAAATAGTTCTGAATTGGAGAACCAAGTGGTTCCTGAAATCTATAAAGGTGCTGAGCTGATAAATGCAGTCCCTGAAGGAATTGCTATACCTTGACAGTCCAACTTAATATCTACTACAACATCTAAGAAGGCCAGAAAAGAAGAGATGGGTATGAACAAGGAGGAAACTGAGAAAATAGAAGAGGGTAATGATGGAAAGCAGCTTCAGGGAATGATCCGCTCAGATACTGATGCTACTACGGATTGTGGATTATATCCGATCTCTGAATCAAACTCCAGTTATCAGGTGGCACCAACTGACCAAAGAGGAAGTTAGTCGGGCATCTTACTATTTTGAAGAAATCATGTGGCTCAGGACTAACAAGGGAACCTGCACACATGTTACAAGCTGAAGAAGGAGCTCATGGACAAGAACAAAAGAATGCGGTCAACTTCTATGTCCCTTGTGCAAAGGATGCCTCAGGTGAAGTCCATTGGCAGAATTTACATAAGAGTTTGCATCAGGTTTCATCGGCAGTAAATGGAAGGTATGAGGCATTCCAGAAAATAGAGGATGCTCCGAGGGCTACCAAAGCTGACAATTCTTTTCTGGAGAAACTAGGTATAACTGAAGGTTCTCTCTCTGAAGATGATGGAGATGGATATGAGTATATCAATGGTGGACACCTGTGGAAAACCTACGCTGCTAAACTTTCTTCTTCAGTTTCTACCTTGATAGTGGCCAATACTGAAGGATTGTGGAAAAGGTCAAACCGCGGCTTACTTGTAAAACTATTGGTTGGTAAAGATGATATGTTTGAGTCATTTGTTAATAATGGAGAGCCTATGCAAACAGCAATGCCAACAGAGAATGAGGTCTCAAGGTTGGTAATAGCAAGTGAAGTTATGGAAGGGCTGCATAAGTTTGATGGCTACAGATTTGAGGATGAAATTTCTGTGAAGTATGTCCAAAAAGGTGTGGGGGTAAGAATTACTGGAATTTGGAATGAGAAGGTTGGTTATATTACTGATGGACTCGTTGACATCTTCCTGGTGATTGATAATGAATTCAATTCAGCTATTCCCCAGGCAGCTTTGATCATGGGTGAGAATGCAAGGAGAATGCTGATAGATTGGATACTAGTTCAAAGGGAAGGTGCAGGTTTGGACCTTAGTTTTTTTATGGCAATTGATGATCCATGGGTTCAGATACTCAGGAAAAGAGAAAAGAATTGGGAATTGGGATCTTTAGCAAAGCAAGTGGGTAAGAATGATCTACTGATTGGGGAAATTGAAGGATCAATCCTCACTTACTCCAATGAAATGGTAGTTAAGGGCGACAGTTTGATACTTTCTTCAATTCGGGATTCCTCTAACTCTAAACTGAGAGGGGCTGAGGAGTTTAATTTTGCATACCAGTGGGATAAAGTCAGGGAGGGCCTGGATTCTATTACTCAGGCTGTTGTTTTTGAGGTCTACACCAGAGAGCATCTCATGGATTTATCCTTAAAGCCAGAAAGTGTTAGTAATGTCAAAGTTGACGAAAAGTGGCTGGATGGACTGCACACACTTGATGGAACTGTTCAGCAAGTAGTTTACACCTATATTTTGCCTATGATGCAGCAGCAGCGAGATTCTCACTTTTGCAGCAACAGGGAGCATTCTGGCACCAAGATATTGTTTCTGCTCCTTGCAGTGAAGAATAGGAAGATGCAATTTCAAGTACGTGAGCTAAATGTCCAAAAATCCGGGAGGTATTGGGAAGGGAGAGGTGCAAGAATGAAGTGCAAGCGGAAGATCATGGCTGACTCCTATCACCCACCTTGAGGGCAAGGTGGTTGTTTAGGGGGGGAGTATTGTTAGGCATCAGTCTAATTAGTAGTTTTAAATAAGGGGGTTAGGGGAGTTAAATAGCTTTTAAAGTGCCTATAGCTTATTTAGTTGTCTATTTAGTCCCTGCGTGGACTTTTGGCTATAAATAGAAGCTGGGGTAGCCATAATAGGGGACGGTTATTTTGATTTGTGTGTTGCCTTGTTGCCTAAGAAGTCCCTGTCCCTGTCCCGGTTGCCTTGTTGTTACCTACGGATTATCCCCCATATCAATAAACTTCAGTTTATCTACATTTCTGCTTAGATCTGTGAGCTTGTTTACTGGTTTTGCTGGTTGAATTACCAGTGCCTAACAGCTTGAAATTGCCACCAAAGAAGGTGGGAAGGATGAAGATGTGAATGATTTAACAGAAGGGTTTGATGGGACAAAGATTCATGGAGAGGACGGTTGCTGCTATTTGTCAAGTGATGAAGACGTAGAACTTGTTTGGAAAGATTTTCCAGAAAAGTTCAACAAATTTTTGAAGTAAAGGGAGTCGAGAAAAAGAAGGCAGGGGAGTTTAGGATCCTCTTGCGGCAGTGGTGCTTAGCTACGTATTAACAGCTTTTTTTATCATCTAAAGGCAACACCACCTGCAACACAAAGCTGGAGGGTGGGGGGAATTTGACTGTGAGTTCAAGCAATGCTTCTAGTGCTTCCAAAAAAGAACAGCAGAAAGAAGAGAAACCTTCCGACTTTCGCAAGTCAGTTAGGCGTAAACTTTTATTTGAGTGATAGATCACTTTATGTTTTACCATCAATTAGAGTGCTCCTCTTCTTGTTTTGTCTGTGAACTGCAACTTGGTTATATGTGTATGTTAAATACTGATTTTCTCCTTTGTGAAAAAAATCACTTTAACTTTTAAATAAATAAATATAACTTTTAAATCATAACCCACAACTTTTAAGGACTAACTCCATATATATTTATCATTTTTTTAAACCAATGGCCTATATAAAACACAATGGACGATATCCACCAACATCACTCTATCTCTCAGAAGGTTGGTTACCAGATACACCTTGACCAAGTGCTTCTAAAGATGTTGTAGCCTTATATTGAGGAGCGCAAAATCCTGCTGTTTATCACATGGAGTATAGAAACTACTCCAATGCAGGACTGCAGCCCTTCCAAACCTTTAAGGACCAATCTCTCATAGTTGCAAATGTTTCTCATGTTTGCACGATACAAACATGGACGATATGATTTAAACTAAGATATCATAACTTACAAACAAGTGAAGGAGAAATTTTAAATAAAAAAATGATATTTAGTGACTTTGATTTTGATATTTTTATAATTAAACTCACATTCTAGAATCTTAAACATGTGTATGTTCATTGAGACAAATTATCAAGCACGTAGTGTGATATAAAAGGTGATGATATAGTTGAATAGAAAGCTAAAGGAAAGAACACTAACAGTCAATAAACTACTGGGAACAAGTGAAAGATGAGAGTAATTTCAAGTCAAAACTTTCAAGAAACCGCACACGATTCTAAACATGAAATTGAATAAATTGAAAAGTCACAAATTGGAGAAAAATAATACACAATTTCAAGAGTTTGCTTGGAACAGCTACATCAAAGCTTGAAAGGCGGTAACAAAATGGTAGAATAATTCAAACCTGAGTTTTTAAATTGAAAAACGCGTTGCTGAAATCTTTGCTCGCACCACACTATTAAGAGTTTGGTGTTGAGAAACTTTGTTGATATAACAACCAATATTCAATTTCAGAGTCTATCTACACGGAGAAGAGTTAATCCAAATGAGAGTCGACAGGGGAGATACTCTCAATGAAGTTTTATGGGAAAAAAGGAACTGAATAATCCTTTAGAGGAGAGACGAGGTGTCATTCGGTTAGTTAGGACGAAAAGAAGTCATGGGATCCAATCTAATCGAGTGGCTGAGCAGAGTTCTCATTCTTCAGCCGTAACCAGCTTCTCGTCGGATCTATTCCCTATAATATATATATATATATATATATATATATATATATATATATATATATATATATATATATATATATATAGGGGAGGGTTCCTGTGAGAAATGAGTCTCAGAAGAGAAATGAGAACAAAATCTAACCATCAAATACATGAAATCAAAGGCTAAGATTGAATACAAATTAATTGTGGCACATGGTAATTATGTTGAAGTTTGAATGACTATTAGTATCCTAAGAGGAACGGTTTTAAGTCTAAGGGCAAAAGTGTAAAAGTCATCATCACTTCATTTGGAAACATATAACCGTAGCTCAATTTTTTCATACAAATAGGATTGGATCATTAAATGCAATACATAAAGCCTATTGATTCAGACTATTTTTTCCTTTAATAGTTAATTTAATTAGGTTGTTACTTTACATAATAAATGCAATCCAGATATTCAATTAAATGTGTCAATTGTGTGGGTGCACTGTTATTCAAATTCCTTTGCACTTTGGAATTGTGAAGGTTGCAACGATTCTTTCCAAACAATAAATTACATTAATTCTCTTATTAAATTTTTTTTCTAAATTTTGTATATTCTCACATAAAATTCGGATAATTAATTTGGTAAAGAAAATATACTAATTGTGCATTATTTTTAATATTTCATCAACAGAATCCATCTAGATTTGTCCATTTGCACTCCGATATTAAATTGATGCACTTTTATTAGAAAAATTATGCATCACTGATTTTATTATATATTTGAATATTTTAATTGCACTAATCGTAATTGAAAAATAAATTGCACTTTAAACATACTATTGTGCATTTCCCTACATCTTTCTAATCAAAATGAATTGAAAAAATAAAAACAAGTAGACACGGGTATAAAAAATACATGGTTATACTGTCATGTGCATTCAAGTATATACAAAAGTGCATAAGTATACAACATTATAAAATTTTACAATGATAATATGTTACCCAAAATGAAATGCACTTTAAACATGTGCATTTAAATATAAATAAAAGTGCATTGTCGTCTCACACGTTTCTAAAATTTTGCATAGACATTGCAGTGCAGTTATAACACTAAAAAGGTGCAATATTTATAATTACATTAGTGCAATTTTTTAGTAAAAGATAGAGTATAATAATAAATGAAAATGCATTAAAAAATAAAGTAGAAGATATTTTTAAACATAAAGTAATGAAATGATCGAGATTTTATACAAAACATGGAAAATAGATGTCTTCCTCCGTGATATCGAACTTCAGAATGATGAAAGTGTGAAAGAATCAAATGATGAGATAAAGAATTTTATTTTTATTGGCTAAGCAAATGAAAAATAATTTGATAAAGATTCTTTTGGAATTGTGAAGTAATAAAAAACAAATCGGATGATTGGTCATCCATGATTATAGGGAGTCATGTATGGAAACAATTGAATGATTAATGGAAGTAAACGTATAAGTTTATTATGGTGCCAAATTCTCTTATTTACCCTTAATGAAATATTAAAAGACTTCAAGATCTAATGGCTATAAATCATTCTCATTTCTCTCCTAAGATGATATTCTCACTTGAACCTAAATCTATATATATATATATATATATATATATATATATATATATATATATATATATGTTTCAGATCAAATAAAAACCTTTCTTATCATAAAAACTAAAAACCGTTCAATTTTATCCGAATGTGATGCACTTTAAGGATGATCTGTTGCACTTTTTGAACTTCAGTCGAACCATGCTAAATAAAAAAAATGTGGAGGCATTTTCGTAAATAAGTCAAAGCTTCCTTTCAATGCGAAAAAGTGCAACACAGAAACGTAATAGTGCATCACACTGTCGAAAAAGTAGATGGTTTGCAGTTTTCACGATAAGAATGGTTTTTATTTGATCCATACCTTTTGGTCCAGACGGTGAAATCTCCCACCCCAGGAGCCCCCCACCCCGACCCGACGGGATGGTGGGGGAGTTAATCACGGTGACTCAGTCAGCAAAGCGGCGGTAGGCCTTATACACGTGCGCACCAGAGGTCCAGCTTTATTTCAGGTTCTGTAACCTCCACACGGCCGCTGCGGGTTTCGAAGCTTGGTCACTTGGTCCAATTTTCCCACTACTCGACCAACTGAGCTACCCGTGGGGGTTATTTGATCCATACCCTATATGTGTGTGTACGTATATAGTTGACAACTAGAATATAAAATTTGTTCTGAAAATATGAATAATGATGCATTGGGGAACACAAATATCTGAAATGAAATCGAGAATGTATCTAATGAATTAATGATAACACCGATTAAAATGTTTCTTGTGAGAGTTCAAAGGTAAGCCATTAAATGTATAGGAACTCGACCACTAATTCAATGTATATTATATTTTAGATCATTTTAGTGCACATATTATGTGTTTTAGTCAAATTATTTTTTCAATATAATTACAATAGTTTATACTCCATATTATTTTTATCTAGAAGATACACTAATACTAATATATGTCGATATTAAATGTTACGTTGGTGTTATATCTTGTCTAGGGTCTCAAAAACTCTCCAGGCGGCTCTGTTAGCCAACATTGACTTTTCTAGTGCATGATACTAAACTTTGACCGAAAATATGTTTATATATGAAAGTATTTATTATATCATCATCATCATCATTATCATCATTATCATTATCCAGTGCCGCAAAGGCCTACGATAGGGTAGGGGGGGTCGGATGTACGCGATCTTACCCATGTACTAAAGCATAGTGACATTGTTTTCAGATGACTCATAGTGAAAATTACGTCGAAAATTGCATGGACTGAGTGTTGTTTCATAGAAAAGAAGCACAAACAGTTTAGTGAACCAGTTTGCTTTATTCCATCATATTCTCAAGCCAAAAAATAGTGAGTCTTTGACTTCATTGCAAATGATGTAAACTAAAGTATTTATTTTATGAAAATGATATTAAAGTGTTATTTGTGAAATATAATAATATCATAAAAGTATAAAACTTATAATATTTACAAAAGTGTATTAGTTAAAACGATTGATTAAAATTTACCATCATTGACTAGAAAAGTTAATGTTGCTAACTAAAATGAGACGGAGTTGGTAATAAAATAATTGTACTGTGAACTTTTAACTAAATGATGCATATTTCCATTCTCCGATAATCTAATCAAAGCATTTTAATCTTAATTTGTATAAACAAATGGAGTAGATCTTTCAAGAATGGAACCATCCGAGTAAATCAAGATCGGTTACAATTGCGGTATTGATGCCCTCACGCATATAAAATCTATTTGCATATTTGCACTAGTTGTAGCAAATTGTTTAGTATACTGTATAATATAACAAGACTACAAGAGATGATAATGACACCAAGTTTATTGTTTACCGATTAATCTCTCAATTTTGAATTTTTTGATGAATAATAAACCTAGATGCTTAAACATTACTGAAACAACCTTAATTAAATATAATTAATATAGTCCAAGTAAGTTCTTGTCGAAATTACATTTATCAGCCACAGTCCTAGAAGTTATTGTTCAAGTAAAAATATAAACCAGCAAGTGCAGCTACTCCAATGACGATCACAACGGGCAATGCTAGGCTGCATCAATATATGACAAGGTTTTTCCTTCATTATATGATATATTAAGGTCGATAACAATGAAAATATTCAGCAAACTTTGAAACGATACAAGTAAAGTACAAGATATATCATAACTCAATAAATTCAATTTAAACTATTTCATACGCATTTTATTTAATCCTAATATTATCATTATATCATATACTAAAGGCAAAATCAAAACATATGTAATTTTGAGTGGAAACAATTGCATTTCATTCTTA